TATATATATTTATTAGATCAAGTAAGCACCGATTCCTCTTTGCACTGCTGCGGGTACACTAACAAAACCATACACTAATTCCCAGCCTTTGGCTCAGTTTTCAATTTCATAAAACACTTTTTGCAAAACACAACACACAATTCTTTATGTAACACACAAAAATCTAACAGGAATTAATATTATGGCAAAGGTATTTGCTTTTGAGATGTGTTTGTGATATTTTGAGTGCAGCGCTTCCTTTTGCAAGAGATGTGAGGCATTTTGCATTTTTTGTGTGTAAAGTTTAAAAAAAAAAAAGAGGCAAAGTTTTGACAATGTGTGTAAGCAGTTGAAAAAACCTGTCAGAAAAACTGTAATAACTAGATTGAAAAGTTTGAAAGATGGTGTGTCTTAACCCTAAAAAGGGCAAACCCATAAAGAGACATCAGAAAGTTAATTTATTGGGACTTATTATAACTTAGTGGGACTCAAATAATGCAATTTCATGATTTTTTTTTTTTTTCAGAACTTGAGTCTTATTTTTTATTTTAATGTTTAATGCCACTTTAGAGGTATAAATTAACTGAAAACAGAACACTTGTTTATCAATGCTTGTTACAACATTGTTGTAATTCCTGAACACTTTGGAATATAGACCTAAGTTTGGTCTCTTTTTAAAGAAGACACATAGCAGATTTTTGCTGAAGTGAAAGCATTTGAAAAACAAAAAAGTGTAAAAAAGTTATAAAAGTTTAAGTTTACAGTAAAGATAACGTATAGTATACTAATTGTTTTTTATTTTATATAAAATAAATATTTTATAAAATATGTTGAACAGCATGCCAGGGCGAATTGCAGAGGTCTTGAAAAAGAAGGGTCAATGCTGCAAATATATGCAATTTCATGATTTTTTTTTTTTTTTCAGAACTTGAGTCTTATTTTTTATTTTAATGTTTAATGCCACTTTAGAGGTATAAATTAACTGAAAACAGAACACTTGTTTATCAATGCTTGTTACAACATTGTTGTAATTCCTGAACACTTTGGAATATAGACCTAAGTTTGGTCTCTTTTTAAAGAAGACACATAGCAGATTTTTGCTGAAGTGAAAGCATTTGAAAAACAAAAAAGTGTAAAAAAGTTATAAAAGTTTAAGTTTACAGTAAAGATAACGTATAGTATACTAATTGTTTTTTATTTTATATAAAATAAATATTTTATAAAATATGTTGAACAGCATGCCAGGGCGAATTGCAGAGGTCTTGAAAAAGAAGGGTCAATGCTGCAAATATTGAGTCTTTGCATAAACTTAATGTAATTGTCAATAAAAGCCTTTGACATTTATGAAATGCTTGTAATTATACTGGACCCACTTTATATTAAGTGGCCTTGACAACTATGTACTTACATTTAAATTAATAATTTGGTACAATGCACATATTGTGTACATACATGTTTTTACATTGTACTTATATTTTAAAAATACCTGCATGTAATTACATTTATAATTACACAGTTGACCCATCCCTTACACCTTAACCCACCCTTAAACCTACCCAGACCACCAAACCTGTCCCTAACCTACCCGTATCCCACCTCAATAGCAGCAAGTGTTTTGCAATACAATATGAACACAAAAAGTACATTGTACTTAATCTTTGATGTAAGTACATAGTAGTTAAGGCCACTTAATATAAAGTGGGGCCATTATACTTCAGTATACCATAGTAACATCTGCAAAAAAAGATATAAAACACTGAAGCAACAGTCTTTGTGAAAATGTATATTTGTGTCAAAAATTTTGGCCACGGCTGTAGGTATACAGCGACCTCTGACGCTTGACTGAAAAACTGGGAAACGCTGTTGTGTGACAGCAATTTAACCTTTTACACAAACTCTTACGTTTATCATGAGGTTGAATACAGTTATTAATCAGTTACTTATTGATGCTTTTCTTTCCATCTTGAATAATGTGACGCTTTCATAACGCGTTTATCCAGTATCGTTGTTGCCATAGCTGTGATTTAAAGTGC